CAGCGCTGGCGTGTGCCACAGGGAGGTGGTTGAGTTGGAGGGCAGCTCACTGGGCTTGTTGCCGGAGGCCGGCCCAGCTCACCTCATGAGCCAGCTCATGCCAGCTCATGCCAGCTCCCACCCTCGATTCCATGCTGCATCCCTGCCCCCCCCCCAGGTGCTGCTCAACGTGCTTGCCGACGAGATCCACCGCGCCCACCAGCGCTGCCTGCTGGAGGATGAGTGCGACCCCAACAGGGTAGGTGGGGGTGTGAGGTGGCAGGGTGCGGGTGACGTGGCACGACTGGGCGGCATGGGGCCGCTGCTGCACGGTGCTCGGGGGGGTGGCTGCCTGCGCGGCTGCCTGCGCGGCCAGCCGGCTGCCGCCTCCCTGCCTCCCGGGCGCTCTCCTGCCGCCGCGCGCGCCACCCACCGTCGCCGCGCACGCGCGCCTCTCCTGCTGCCACCCGCAGAAGAAGATGGATATGGTGTTTGAGGCGGGGGAAGCCACCATGAAGCTGCTCAAGGGCGCCTACTCCTGCATCTCGCTCATCAAGGGCGTGGGCCTGGTGGCCTTCCGGGACCCCAACGGCATCAGGTGGGCCAGAAAGAAAGAAGGATAAAAACGGCTGCAAGGGAGGGAGGCGGCTGGGAGCAAGGGACGTGGCGCTGCGTGCTGGGCAGGAGCTGGGCAGGAGAACCAATCAGCAGCGCAGCCCGGCGGGGGTGGTGGGCAGGCTGACAGGGAGCGGTCCGTGCTGGGTATCGTGCAGCCCGGCGCTTGGGCAGCGGAGGAGCAGGCAGATTGGCTGCCGCTGAGGAGGTGTGGCGCTGCTGCTGCTGGTTGCCGGCGGGCATGGCTCACCTCCTCACCTGATCCTCCTCGCCCCGTGCCGCCACCCGCAGGCCGCTGGTGCTGGGCAAGCGGCAGGGGCGGCGCGGCGAGGAGTGGTGCGTGGCGAGCGAGGACTGCGCCTTTGGACCCATCGGCTTTGAGCGCGTGCGCGACGTGCGGGTGAGCTGGCAGCGTGTTGGTGGTGGCTGCGGTGTGGTGGCTGCGGTGTGGTGGCAGCGGTGTGGTGGTGTATTGTGGTGGCAGGGGTGTGGTGGCAGCGTGTTGGTGGCGGTGGTGCATGTGAGGTGGCCCGCGCCCGGCGCCTGCTGCTGTACTGGGGAAGCCCAGGCCGCGCAGTGTGGCCGCCAGGGGCAGCAGCCCGCTAGCCGAGCCGAGCGGCAGTCTGCAGCGGGGCACTTGCCCTTGATCTCATCAACTCCTACTCTTTATCTCTGCTCACACTGCTGGCCCCGCCTCTTACCACCTCCCCGCCCCTGCCCTTGCCCCCTGCGCCTCCCCTGCGCCTCTCCTGCGCCTCCCCTGCAGCCCGGAGAGATGATCATCATCGACGAGGACGGCCGGCTGATCAGCCGCCAGGTGGCAGAGGTGCGGCGCGCCGCCTGCCTGCCTCCCCACCAGCCACCTCGGCCCTCCCATGACCTGCCCCGCCATGCCAGATCCTGACCTGCAACCCCTCCCCGCCTTTGCGCTCTGCCGCCAGAAACAAACCGCATGCACGTTCTGTTGTTTCCCTCCCCGCCCTTGCCCTGCCCCCTAGTGCGGATCGCTGACCCCAACCTACACTGATTGCCTCCCATCCCCTGCCACTCCCGCTCCTGCCCCTGCACCTGCAATGCGTATCGCTGACCCCACCTGCACGTATTGCCTCCCATCCCTCCTGCCCCCTGCCCCTTTGCAGTGCGAGTCGCTGACCCCCTGCATCTTTGAGTACATCTATCTCGCCCGCCCGGACTCCATCCTCAACTCCATCCCCGTCTACAACTTCCAGCTGGGCCTGGGCACACGCCTGGCGCGCCGCATCAAGTGAGGCGGGGCGGGGCGGGGCGGGTGGGTTGTGTGTGGGGGGTGTAGGTGGGTGACTGGGTTTGTGTGTGCGTGGGTAGGCGGGTGGACTGGTGTGTTCGTGTGTGGTGGGTAGGTGGGGGAATGCGCGTGTGTGTGGTGGGCGGGTGCGTGGGTGGCGCGATGGCAGCAACTCCGGGGTTCGCTGCCACGCGCAGCATGCAGGGAGCAGCTGCCAGCGGTTACGGCCGCCTGCCTGCCGCAGCTCTGGCGTCGGCTGCGACCCGTGGCGCCCGCGCCGCGGCAGCTCGCCCCGGCCCATTGCACGCGCTCATCCCAGCCTGCTGCCAACCCGCACCGCTGGTGACTGGCACCCCGCAGGGAGCGTGGCTGGGAGGTGGATCTGGTGTGCCCCGTGCCAGACGGCTCTCGGCCTGCTGCCATCCAGATCAGGTGTGGGGCTGCACCGAGGGCGGATGTCGAAGGCCTCCCGCTCCGCGGGCGTCTTCCTGCCTGCCTGCCTGCCCTGCTTGCCTGTTCAGGATGCTCAGCGCGGGCACCCCCGCCTGCCTCCCTCGCTGCCTGGCGCGTGCACCACCTGCTGCTCCGGGGTGCCCGGGGAGATCACAGCACGGCACACTGACTGCGTTGTGTGCTCTCTGCGCCCCGCCTCCGCCCGCAGCGCGGAGCTGGGCCTGCCGTACCGCGAGGGCTTGGTGAAGAACCGCTACGTGGGCCGCACCTTCATCATGCCTGACCAGCGCCTGCGCGAGGTGCGCCCGCTGTTGGGCATGCTGGGCACGCTGGGCACGCTGCTGTGGCGGTGCTGGGCACGCTGGGCACGCTGCAACGGCGCCGCGGCTGCGGCGGGGCTTGGAGGAAGCGTCGAGGGCCCCCCTGCCGCTGCCGCTGCCCGTCTGTGCTGTTGGGGAGCCACTGCCTGCAGCCCGTAGCTGGCCTTCCGTCCCTTGGCATGTCCCGTGTCTCCACCCCACCGCCCGCTGCCCTCCCGTGCCCCCCCCCCCCCCCCCCCCCAGCGAGTTTGTGGCGCACGGCCTGAGCGAGGAGGAGATATGCCGGGTGCTGGGCGCGGACGGCCTCATCTACCAGGATGTGGCAGACCTGCTGGACTGCGGGCGAGACCTCAACCCGGAGATCGCCGACTTTGACGACTCCTGCTTCACGGGTGGGTGGGCGCGGGGGCGTGGGGTGTGGAGTGTGGAGCAGGGGCCGGCGGGTGTGGAGGCGGAGGTGTGGGGCATGGAGGCGTGGGCGTGGCGTGGAGGCGTGGGCGTGGAGGGCAGCAGGGGCTGGCGGGCAGGGCGGGGGTGGCTGCTGGGCGAGTGCTACTGGCGGGGCAAGGGGCGCTGGGGTTCTGCCAGGCAGCTGCCAGGCAGGTGCCAGGCGGCCAGGTGGGCGGCGAGCCGCGCCCCCTGCGGCACGCTGCCTGCCTGCCAAGCCGCGGCTGCCAGCGCAGCACCTCTTGCCACGTCAGCGCGCCGAGGCGGCGCCCCCTCGGCCCATGCATGTGCCCATGCGCCCCCTCCCATTGTGTGCCCCCTCCCTTCCTCCCGCAGGCAAGTATGTGACTGGCGACATCAACGAGGCGTACCTGCGCAACCTGGAGGAGCAGGGGCGGGGAAAGCGGCGCGGCGGCGCGCGGCCCGGCCGCAAGGCCAGCCTGATCGGCGGCAACGGCGCCGGCGCCAAGAAGCAGCAGCCCGCCAGCGCAGGCACGGGCACCGACCGCCTGCCGGCCTCCACCTCGGCGTGAGCCGCACCCATGCTCGCCTGTGCGCCCCTGGCGCCCACACACCTGACCGACGCATGACGCCCGCTCAATCAGAACTTTGGCTATTCTTTGCTCTCTCTCTCCCTCTCTGCTGCTCCTCCATTCCGCACACGCCCCTCTTCACTGCTTCCTCCCTCCTCCTGATCCCGACCCGCTACTCGCACCGTTTCATGTGGCCTGCGCCCGCTCGTTTTCCTGTCAACCAAGGCAGCAGCCGGTAGGAGACAGAGGCAGGACAGAGCACTGGGCAGGCCACAGTTCAACCGGAATCCCGATGCGAGGCACGCACACCACTCTGCACCTTTGTTGCCCTGCTGCCGGGCTGCCTGTGATGGGCTTCTCCCAGCCCGATCGTCAGCAGCGAGGGTACCATCTGGACCAGTCGCTATCCACTGCCGATTTCGTCATAGGAGGCTGGAGTGGGTGGCCGGTCCTGCCCTGTGTCCGCACGGGCGGCGGCGACCGGCGGCGGCAGCTGGCGGGATTCGGTCAAGTCACCTGCTTGAGCACTGCCCACCTCTCAGAGGTCCAGCGCGTTCCCTGAGAAGCCTGCGCAGGCTGGGGCAGCCACAGGAGGGCCTGGGCCTGCTGCATGGGGTTTCCTGCCTTCCACCTGTGGCCGCGTGAACAAAACGGCGCCGCTAGTCCTTGTTCTCCCCATTCCCTTCCCTCCCAGGTCGCCGTCCGAGTGGTAGCACCTGATGTAGAGGCCTGTGAAGCTACCGTGCGTGCCCCTCGCGGTGAGTGGAGAATCTTGAAGGCCGCGCCGGCGCAGACTGGCCTCCTGCTCCCTTCCTGGTGCTGCCCGGGGCCGGCGCGGCTGGGCAGGGGGTCGGCGAGGTGTCGCAGCGGCGGCATTGCGTTGTTGAGTCACTTGGGCATGAGGAGGGACTTGCCTCGCTCCAGCCGCCTTGGGCCCTGAGCGCCCTCGCCCGCCTCCGTCTGCCCCTCAAACTGACCTCCAGCCCCTTTCCCGCCCCGCTGCCGCAGGCCCACGGCCCCATGGGACTGACCCACCACACCGCCATCTCCCCTCCCCTGCCAACCCCACCTGGACACCAGCGTCCCCTCAGATAGGTGGTGGTCCTGTGTTCACGCATTTTGAGCTAGACTCGAGGGTTTCCAGGCGTTCCGTCCCGCACATCTCCGCTCTCCGTCCATCCCGCGTCGAATCGCCACCTCCACCAGCCCCCATCCGCTCCGCTCATCTCCACACCCGCGTCGCCCCGCAAGCGTCCCCCTTCCGTTCGCGACACGCGCTCCCTTGGCCGCCACTTCTACACTCCGCTCCTCCACCACCACTCCCACCGCGCTGCCCCTCCCCGCCACCGACCCCGACCTCCCCGCTGTCCACCGCCGCCTCCTCCACCCTGCCCCTCCTCCGCCGCCGCGTCCCCATGACTTCGCCCCCGCCGCTCCTCCCCGCTCCACCGCTCCCCGTTGGCTCTGCCCCTGGCTAGCTCCTCGGCGTCCCCGGTCTTGGCGTGTCCTGGCGTTTGGCGTGCCGCTTGCTTGGCTGGCTGGCTCTTGGCGTCCCGGTTTCGGCGTGCCGCGCTTGATGGGTTTCGGCTTCGGCTCTGGTTCTACGCTGGTCTGGTCTGCGAGTCTGCGAGTTGTGCCACCGAGGTCCCGCGCCTGCCGCCCGCCGCGTCCGTTTGAAGCCCCGCTGTTGAAGTCTGAAGGCTGCGCCTCGCTGCTCCTCCGCCCTCGACCGCTGCCCGCACCCGCGCCCCCGCCCTGCTCCCCAGCCCCAGCCCCGCCGCACCCCAGCGCAGCCAGCCGCGAAGCAGCCCCAGCCCTACCCTGCCCAGCAAACCATTCTTTTCTCCCCGCACTGCTCCCGCCCCCACCACTATCTCTGCTGCTCTGCCTAGCCTTGGAGGCGACCCCCGTGCGCGCGCAAACCCGCCACGACGGTGACCCGCAGGCGTCCAGGTGACAGGCGCACCGCATGCATGCACAGCCTGCCTGCCCGCCTCAGGTGCAGTGCACTTTGTTTGTAAGCACTCCTCCTGCAGCCCCGTCGCCTCCTCGGCTTCGCCCCTAGCTAGAACCCTTCAAGGCGCCCGCCCCGCTCCTTCATCCCGCCCCGCCGCCCCTTCACCGCATCCGCCCCCGCCTGCGCCCCGGCTCCCTCCTGGCTTGATGATGGCTGCGCTCGCCGCTGCGCTCATCGCCCCTGCACT